TTCCAGCGTCCAACTCCGAATTATGTGAGTAAAAATAGTGTTTCTAGACTTGTTTGTCAGATGTACTATTTCTACTTATAATTATTGTTCTAAAAACAGGATGTGGCATTATCACGAATAAAAGAATGAAGTGTCTATTGTTTATCTTATCACTTCTTAACTTATTTAAAACAGACTATATCAAACACCTTAAGGTATTTTTATGCAGAAATTGATTCGTTTTACATACCAGAATTATAACCTTAGGCTAATTCATGATACTTATTTAGGTAGCAATCGTTTCAAATCAGTAATTTATATTAACAGTTAAAAAGAACAGATAAGATCAACCAGGGATACAAGAATGACAGTATCAAAAATATTAATCAATCAAATAAACTTTACTAAGTTTTATACTTAATGTTAATGATTTTCCATTTAGCTCGTTCATTAGATTTGGCATCTATTGTCACTTAAGTGTGGATATGTATTATTAGTCAATATAACAATAATCACTTTCATTTATATCAGGGAATCTTTATTAACGAATAAGCGAAAATAGTTTTTGTGACTTTGACTATTTCCAATGTGTAGATTTATGTGTACATTAAACTGTTTTCTTTTAGTATCATATAGCTCAACTAGTAAAAAGGATAGAGAGAAAAAAATGATAACGCATTTATAAAATTAACTAGCTAAAAACATGATAGTTTTTATACTTCATAACACTTACTGTCGATAATCTACCTGGTTAAATGTTAATTAACTAGGTAAGACTGTAGTGAACGAGAACATAATTGGGTACAATCGTATGTGTTATAGAACATCTTAGTAAAATCTGAGAGTTATACAGTAAATACTTCATTTGCAAAATCTCAATCAATCATCTCAAACTTTTTTGTTCTTTCGATTCCACACCAATTATTCTTTGTTCTCGTTCTCTTTTCTTCGATCTTCTTAACCTTTTGCCTCCAAGCATTTCACTTTTGATTGATGATACATACTACTTATATCTATCGAGATCAGTAGCATACATTACAAGACTACATTCTAAATTTTCTTATAAACAAAAGTACTTTACATATGGTGAATTTAAAAATCAGAACCTGTTTCTAAATTTATTGATTAATAACTTTCAATTTATGCTTTATACTCGCTGTATTTATTCTACTTCTGAAATTATTGCCTACACAGTTTAATGTTACATAAATTATGATTATGTTTTTCATATGACATTATCTGTGATATGTAAAGTTGTAGTAAATGCAAATTTTGAAAGTACTAGAATTTGACAAAATGTTCCATTTTAGTTCTTCACGTAAATTCTAAGTATTACGTACATTATTGGTAGTTCGCATTAGTTTATTCAATCAAAAATACACTACTTAGGAGTCCCATACTAGGACGAAACGGTCGTCCAGTGCTTCGAGGTTTTCAATGGTGGTATAACATTGATTGATTCATGATCTCAATTAAAAATACACATAACTGTAAAAATCTCATAAAATTGAGTCATTATACTTACTGTATTTCCTGACAGAATAAATGATAAATTTTAAAGGGAATATTATCAAAAATTGAAGACTCAGACTTTTCAGTTTTAATTATGAACTTAACCAGAGTTTTCAGTACTGACAAGATTAATATGGCTGTTTTTGTACTAAATACAATTAGTTATGTGTAGTTCACGAAAACCTTTTTAAGGGTACAGCAACCAACACCTACAGTAACTTAGTGCATTTAAATGTCTTCGTTTTTTATTCGTTTTTTTTTTCTAAGTTTTATGAGCCTAATGCATTTTTGAGTTTGATAAAATATGTTAGGTATTCAGAAGTATATATTTTAAAAGTTATCTTAAAAATTAGATGGTAATCAAGCTTTATCTACCTGCTCTAATGTTGTTTTCAAACTACTAATACATAGCGCAATTGGTTTATTACGAATGTGTATTCAGGCAGTTCAGTTATCATTTTACCTAAGAAATAACAAACATTAACTTCAGCGATTTTTCAGAGCATTTTATTTGGTATATCATATTGAATCCATGTAAATAATATTAATAGCTTTTGTCAATCTAGAATAGCATTTCTAATTCATATTTTTTGTTTTAACAATTAGGGTCAAGGAAAATGATGATTAATAGAAAATTAGAAGAAATCAAAACCGGGAATATTTTGTTTTTTGCAAACATTAAACAATTGCGAAATAAAATTTACATTGATCAATAACTAATTCACCTTTAGTGAAATATAAGGTGTAAATTAATAGGATGCTTTCTTGTTACTTTGATCGATATTAAACATTTCAAATATAACATAATGACGACTGAATATGTGTTCAGTATCACTTAATTTACTTTCAGTATGAAAAGATATCATATCTTGATCTGTTACCAAATTGTAAAACGGTTCCTTCATATATTTTTACAGAAATTAGAGTAAGAATACTTTATCCAAAACAAAAATGAAATCATTATATCTTAAACTATATTAAATGTGTTCTCAAAGCATTTTGTAATAAGATAGATTTTCTAGATAGACAGTTTTATAAAAACAAATAACATTTTAATTCAGAAGTTGTTGTTGTCTGTAATTTCGTTTCTGAAAGACTATAATCATATTAATATACAATGTATTCTTTTCCGAAGATATCTGCATTATGTTTGTTAATATGTACACTTATAATTTGAGTGGCATCTGTGAAGATTAATAGGTGAAACAGTAGATTAACTGAAACTATAGGATATATAGATGAATGATTGTCAAAAACATGACTGCAGAACAAAAAGCTATAATGTAATCTTTTCAAGTAGATAAGTAGAAGTCATTAAAAATGAGAATAGAAAACAGTCAAAATGGTATAATAATGGTAAAATAATTAAGTAGTAATGATAGATTGAAAAAATAATAAAATAAGCCATTAAGAAAAATGCATAATTGTGAAGGACACTAGGATCACTGAATAAAAAAAACAAGAAAAATCAACTACTTTTCTGCCCTAGATTTGGGTTTATCTTCATTAATACAATACAGATATTTGTACGTACATTACTTTATTTAGAGCCAAGTTAATATTAGTAAAGGATAATGGCAAAGTATATAATATGTTCTAGAAAATGTGGTTTATTACATGATCGAGTACTACCGAGTTGATTGTTTGAAATTGTTTAAGAGGTTAAATAGACATATTTATTCTAAATCTAAGCGGTTATTATGAATTTAAACAGATTATTCACACTTAGAAATAATGTGGATGGTTATAAATAAATAATATATTTGTAATATCCCAACGAGTAGAAAAATTAGAGTTTCGTACGTTTCGTGACCCACTGTAAGTGACTTCTTCAGGGAATAAATAACCAAATTAAATTAACCCGTTTAAACAATACAAAGGAATAAAGCAAGAATATTAGTTGCGATCAATCAAAAACACGTCTGACCAAGTCAATGTCATGTCATTCTGCTCAAAGTGTATATCTGTATATTTGTGTGATGGTAAGGTATGAAATAAATGTGACATTTGTGGTGAGAGAGGATAGAGTTTTATTTGTTTATACAATAACAGCGTGAAATGTGAATAGAATCAGACATGGTAGCTTGGATAGTTAGTCCAAGTTGGATGGATAGTGAGGCCTTCTTTTCTATTGAGGGCAGTAGGAATAAGCATTATATGGAAAGCTTCTTTCTTTGTAGTTGAAAAAGCCTTTTTGTATTATTTTGATGTTCTTGCATTGATTTGATGGTTGTTGAAAATGACGTGAACTCCTATTGCCGATTTAATTTGGAGTCTTTCCAGTTCTTCGGGATTATAAACCATATAAATCACCTTGACCGGAATGATATGGCATTGACTTGGTCAGACGTGTTTTTGATTGATCGCAACTAATATTCTTGCTTTATTCCTTTGTATTATTTAAACGGGTTAATTTAATTTGGTTATTTATTCCCTGAAGAAGTCACTTACACTGAGTCACGAAACTTCCGAAAATCCAATTTCTCTATTCGTTGGGATATTACAAATATAACAATCTACCCAATGCTCAATTTATTCGAAATTATCAAATCAAACCTTGGTATTGATGCCCATAATTTGGAAGATTATTTTAAAACATAAAATCCGAATTGAATGGATTAATGACTAAATTTGTATTTCAGTATTTAAATAGGTTATACTTTGACTATACGAAATTACTAACGGATAGGTTCAATATCTCTGTCAACATTCTTCAAAAGCTAACCTGAAGACTATTTCAGAACTCTGGCATTGAAAACAATTTTTTTCGGGTATTTCGTGAAAACAAACAGTAATCTTTATCTACATAATTGATATAAATAAAAGGAATGAGAGAAGGAAATTCATGCGTAGATTTCGCCCAAAAAAACAGAGGGATCTGCATTAAAATATTCCGGTTGTTGGTTCAGCATAATACACCGATTGATGTTAGACCACCGTTGGAAACCTGAAGGCGCTGGACGGCCGATTCGTCCTGTTTTGGGACTCATCAGCATTGCGCATCCACGATCCAACTCACATGATTCGAACCCAGGGCCTTCAGTCTTGCGCCCACGCTTAACCTACTGGACCAATGGTGTTAGTGTCTATCACCAACCAATCCATAAATCATCAATCGGTTCATGATCTCAATCAAATTTATTTTTGTGTTTGCCCGTGATTTTGTCATCTTAAAGTTTATTGTACATTGTTCATCATTTTGTCAATAAATGCTTCAAGCCGTTTATGTATTATTTATAATAATCACGTGTTTAATTATCGCGGTCTAATATACCTACATTAATTGTATTGTGGTTTTATTACTTTTGTTAACCTAGGGATTTGTTTTTAAAATACAAGCATGTCATACGTTTTAATTTTTATTCAATTTTAGGGATTCCTGGTCTCGTGAAGCTCAGCTTGCGTATGATGTTATTTTAATAGTAGCAATATATGTTTTACCACTGATAGTTGTATGTTTAAGTCAACATGTCGTCACAGTTCATTTGAAACAGTCACAAAGACTATTAATGCTTTCTGGATATCGTAATACAACAGCATGGACAAGAAGACGTCAGCGTCTCACAAGACTATGTGTGTTAATGGCAGCACTGTTTGTTTTATCTTGGTCACCGAACCATGTATGTAATCTGTTGACAAAAACATTTCATATTAACTATCCAGTAACTGAAATTTTACTTGATTATTCAATGTGTTTAGCTATGTCAAATGCTGTAACAGGTCCGTTATTATTAATCGCCACATGCTCAAACTATCATCGTTATATATTTCGCTTCTTCTATCGATCATCAATGACAAGCCACTCTACTACAAGTTATTCAATGCCAGCTAATTCTATACATTCATCAACTGGAATAGGTTTACCAATCGAAACATTTCCAACTATTCATAATCGTGTGCGCAAACAAAAACTAAAAATCGCTGCGGATTCACGTACATTAGAAATGGTTGGAAATGAATGTGACTCTAATTAACCATTGATAGCAAAATCAAAATCTTTTATTGTGAATATTTTTACTGTTTGTGATCAAGATGTCTGCTTTTGTCATTATAGACGTCAGTGAACAAACGGTAGTGATACAAACAAAAAACAATGAAGTGAAAAATATATCTGAAAACATATTCATTGTTATGTTAAAATAATTCTTTCAATTTTTTTCATTAACGAACTTTTGTGTCGTATTCGATGTCGTTTTTTGATATACCTTCATGGATATATAACAGATGATAAATATATATATATTTTCACAATGGATAATGTGTTTTGCTGTTACTATGAACACCTCTTGCTAGTTGAATTACAAAATCAATATTATCAAATTTTTCAAAGCAAGTTGAAGTTACAAATTACGGATTATTTACTTAGCTACTGAGTCCAGAAAGCCACTGACCTATACATTAGGGTAATGTTTAATTCATTTATAACGGTCGTCCGAATGTTTCGTTGACGTTTAAGACCATAATCAATCGTTCCCTTTTCCTTTTCGAAGCGAATGACACTGGGTTCAAATCCTGGAGTGTACATAAACTTTGGGATGAAGAAACACCTTGCTGATGAGTCCTGAATAGGCTGAAACGTTTATTTTGGATTTCTTTCCTTAAAACGACCCATCTCTGCTTATGAAGTATGTACACTGCTTTTAAGGGTTTCCATATTATTATCGCAATAATAACAATGACAACAATAATTTCTTCTCATCATTATTATAAATATCGCTGTAGATAAGATGATGGTTGGAGGTAGTCAACAGGAAACCCTGGACCCGGGTTTCGTGCTACCTGACACTTGTCAGCAAGGTGTACCTGTTATCTTGAGGGAATTGGTGTTATGCTCAGTATGTGATTTGTTATATATATATATATGTGCTTTCATCCTAATTATTAATCAAGTGTACAATCAATATATAAATGAGTATATTTACGACTAGGGTCGTCGTCGTTGTGTTTTGGGGTTAGTAAATCTTTACTTATACCAATCTTCTGTCCTTACTTTCGCGTTCTAGGAATTGCAGAGGTCCCTCGTCCCTAGCACAAGTGATAAGCGTTTCCGACACATCAATCAGCGACGACCAGATATAACAAGTAACATTCAGACGACAAGTTATAACACTGACGGATTCGACTCTTGAACTCGGGCCCAGGGTTTCCTGTTGACTACCTCAAACCGCCTTCTTATCTCAACATAATGCACGCAATGTCGAGTCACCTAGACTAGTGGCCACATGGCAACTTGGTCGATAGCATTCGATCTGCACCAAGAAGGACTTGACACATATGGCATTGATCATCACCCAGTGATCAATCAAATGTGAAATATCGCTTCAGTTAGAAATTTCCAATATCATTGTACAATAGTGAAATAAATTTCTCTTTAACATAAATTAATATTGTAATTATTTGTAAAAATATGTTTTAGAAATTTTTTCAATAATTACTATTTTACACTCATCTTTCATTGAGAAAATTTACCATCATTTCAGTTACTTCAACAATATTATTTACTAGTATAGGGGTTGTGGAGATTATTAAGTTTTTGATTGAGATCTTGAACCAATTGATGTTAGACCATCACAATTGAAAACCTGGAAGCACTGGACGGCCGTTTCGTCCTATTGTGGGACTCCTCAGCAGTGCGCATCCACGATCCCGCGAGCGGGATTCGAACCCAGGGCCTTCGGTCTCGCGCGCGAACGCTTAACCAACTGGACCACTGAGCCGGCATCCAATGGTGATAGTTTCTAACATCAACCAATCCACGAAATTGCGCGACCCATTTCCATTGTCTTTAAGTAGATAACTGTCTCTACCCGACAAGGATTAGCTCCACTGGTCACGGCTTCTCACTAGAACTCCGAGAATTCCCTCACGAAGCTAGTCACTAGTGAGCACATGTTGATTACTAGTATAGGGGTTGTGGAGATTATTAAGTTTTTGATTGAGATCTTGAACCAATTGATGTTAGACCATCACAATTGAAAACCTGGAAGCACTGGACGGCCGTTTCGTCCTATTGTGGGACTCCTCAGCAGTGCGCATCCACGATCCCGCGAGCGGGATTCGAACCCAGGGCCTTCGGTCTCGCGCGCGAACGCTTAACCAACTGGACCACTGAGCCGGCATCCAATGGTGATAGTTTCTAACATCAACCAATCCACGAAATTGCGCGACCCATTTCCATTGTCTTTAAGTAGATAACTGTCTCTACCCGACAAGGATTAGCTCCACTGGTCACGGCTTCTCACTAGAACTCCGAGAATTCCCTCACGAAGCTAGTCACTAGTGAGCACATGTTGATTACTAGTATAGGGGTTGTGGAGATTATTAAGTTTTTGATTGAGATCTTGAACCAATTGATGTTAGACCATCACAATTGAAAACCTGGAAGCACTGGACGGCCGTTTCGTCCTATTGTGGGACTCCTCAGCAGTGCGCATCCACGATCCCGCGAGCGGGATTCGAACCCAGGGCCTTCGGTCTCGCGCGCGAACGCTTAACCAACTGGACCACTGAGCCGGCATCCAATGGTGATAGTTTCTAACATCAACCAATCCACGAAATTGCGCGACCCATTTCCATTGTCTTTAAGTAGATAACTGTCTCTACCCGACAAGGATTAGCTCCACTGGTCACGGCTTCTCACTAGAACTCCGAGAATTCCCTCACGAAGCTAGTCACTAGTGAGCACATGTTGATTACTAGTATAGGGGTTGTGGAGATTATTAAGTTTTTGATTGAGATCTTGAACCAATTGATGTTAGACCATCACAATTGAAAACCTGGAAGCACTGGACGGCCGTTTCGTCCTATTGTGGGACTCCTCAGCAGTGCGCATCCACGATCCCGCGAGCGGGATTCGAACCCAGGGCCTTCGGTCTCGCGCGCGAACGCTTAACCAACTGGACCACTGAGCCGGCATCCAATGGTGATAGTTTCTAACATCAACCAATCCACGAAATTGCGCGACCCATTTCCATTGTCTTTAAGTAGATAACTGTCTCTACCCGACAAGGATTAGCTCCACTGGTCACGGCTTCTCACTAGAACTCCGAGAATTCCCTCACGAAGCTAGTCACTAGTGAGCACATGTTGATTACTAGTATAGGGGTTGTGGAGATTATTAAGTTTTTGATTGAGATCTTGAACCAATTGATGTTAGACCATCACAATTGAAAACCTGGAAGCACTGGACGGCCGTTTCGTCCTATTGTGGGACTCCTCAGCAGTGCGCATCCACGATCCCGCGAGCGGGATTCGAACCCAGGGCCTTCGGTCTCGCGCGCGAACGCTTAACCAACTGGACCACTGAGCCGGCATCCAATGGTGATAGTTTCTAACATCAACCAATCCACGAAATTGCGCGACCCATTTCCATTGTCTTTAAGTAGATAACTGTCTCTACCCGACAAGGATTAGCTCCACTGGTCACGGCTTCTCACTAGAACTCCGAGAATTCCCTCACGAAGCTAGTCACTAGTGAGCAATGGGTCGCGCAATTTCGTGGATTGGTTGATGTTAGAAACTATCACCATTGGATGCCGGCTCAGTGGTCCAGTTGGTTAAGCGTTCGCGCGCGAGACCGAAGGCCCTGGGTTCGAATCCCGCTCGCGGGATCGTGGATGCGCACTGCTGAGGAGTCCCACAATAGGACGAAACGGCCGTCCAGTGCTTCCAGGTTTTCAATTGTGATGGTCTAACATCAATTGGTTCAAGATCTCAATCAAAAACTTAATAATCTCCACAACCCCTATACTAGTAATCAACATGTGCTCACTAGTGACTAGCTTCGTGAGGGAATTCTCGGAGTTCTAGTGAGAAGCCGTGACCAGTGGAGCTAATCCTTGTCGGGTAGAGACAGTTATCTACTTAAAGACAATGGAAATGGGTCGCGCAATTTCGTGGATTGGTTGATGTTAGAAACTATCACCATTGGATGCCGGCTCAGTGGTCCAGTTGGTTAAGCGTTCGCGCGCGAGACCGAAGGCCCTGGGTTCGAATCCCGCTCGCGGGATCGTGGATGCGCACTGCTGAGGAGTCCCACAATAGGACGAAACGGCCGTCCAGTGCTTCCAGGTTTTCAATTGTGATGGTCTAACATCAATTGGTTCAAGATCTCAATCAAAAACTTAATAATCTCCACAACCCCTATACTAGTAATCAACATGTGCTCACTAGTGACTAGCTTCGTGAGGGAATTCTCGGAGTTCTAGTGAGAAGCCGTGACCAGTGGAGCTAATCCTTGTCGGGTAGAGACAGTTATCTACTTAAAGACAATGGAAATGGGTCGCGCAATTTCGTGGATTGGTTGATGTTAGAAACTATCACCATTGGATGCCGGCTCAGTGGTCCAGTTGGTTAAGCGTTCGCGCGCGAGACCGAAGGCCCTGGGTTCGAATCCCGCTCGCGGGATCGTGGATGCGCACTGCTGAGGAGTCCCACAATAGGACGAAACGGCCGTCCAGTGCTTCCAGGTTTTCAATTGTGATGGTCTAACATCAATTGGTTCAAGATCTCAATCAAAAACTTAATAATCTCCACAACCCCTATACTAGTAATCAACATGTGCTCACTAGTGACTAGCTTCGTGAGGGAATTCTCGGAGTTCTAGTGAGAAGCCGTGACCAGTGGAGCTAATCCTTGTCGGGTAGAGACAGTTATCTACTTAAAGACAATGGAAATGGGTCGCGCAATTTCGTGGATTGGTTGATGTTAGAAACTATCACCATTGGATGCCGGCTCAGTGGTCCAGTTGGTTAAGCGTTCGCGCGCGAGACCGAAGGCCCTGGGTTCGAATCCCGCTCGCGGGATCGTGGATGCGCACTGCTGAGGAGTCCCACAATAGGACGAAACGGCCGTCCAGTGCTTCCAGGTTTTCAATTGTGATGGTCTAACATCAATTGGTTCAAGATCTCAATCAAAAACTTAATAATCTCCACAACCCCTATACTAGTAATCAACATGTGCTCACTAGTGACTA